ATGTAGGAATAAATGAAAAAGCATTTTAAAGAGCAAGGTTCTGCGCTTCCAACGATCCTTCAATCATTGACCCGAAGTCATTATCTTCGGAATTATAGCGATTCAAAGTTTTTTTAATTTTAATACGGTTTAATCAAGTTTTAAGGTAAAACGTGATACATATCTTTATTTGTGGAAAAGTATTGCTTTTAAGGATTTTATTAATGGTATATTAAATTGATTTCAAAATTATTCTAAATCCTTTGCTTGAAATAATTAGATTTTAAGAACGTAAGAACTTCTAATAATATTATATTCGTAATATATGATTTTTATTAAAAGTTATGTTCCAATTTCGAATAAGTTGACTCTTATATAATAATACCATCGAATAATGATTAAATTTTAATCTTAAAAAATATATTTATCATTTAATTTTTTAAAAATCATATGATTATTTTCGATGAAATTGATTCTTTTAATTTATCAGAATCTCATTTATCGTTTAAACTTATTAAATGTTAGACTGTAAAAATCATATGTTGTGTAAATCTTGTTTTTCTCATTCCACTTAGATTAAAATGCTGTTTTTACAATGGTTGCCGTGCTTGCTGCGCATGAGTCGTCCAGGAAAGAAGATCACGAAGAAGACCATTCTTGGAGGCAACAGAAGGGCAAAGGGCATGGAATTGCAGGAGAAGAGTAGCAAGAGTTTGCTAGCAAATGTATTAGATATCGACGACGACATTCGTCACAAGAATAGTGCGGCAAATCCTCCTTCCGGTTACATAAGGTATATTTCCTTAAATTTTTTTATATTTGTTTAATCTTGCTTTAAAATCTTTAATTATCAAAAAAATTCGTGCTGTAAAAAATTAAAATATATTTTAATGAGAAACTTATAAATTTCGAAACAAACTTTTCCCGTTTTTCACGTAGTATATAAATGTATATTGCAATAGTTTCCACACAACTTTGTTATTCCATACTTAAAGTGCATATTCTACAATATTCTGTGGTTGTTTTATTTTCAATAATAAATATTCTTCTTGTGATTAACAATATGATAAAAATATCATATAAACATAAAATAATGAATTTTAAAAATTGTCATGAAATATTCACATTAAACTAATTAATCCATGTAATATATGATCAGGCATGAAGCACTTGTCAAAATGCACATAAATAATTTTTCAAACAACTTTTTAATCGAATATCACTTATATTGCAACTAACGAAATACAATATTCTTCTCATATAAGACTTCCTATTAAAATTTAACGCATAACTTAAAAAAAGAATCTTAATTTTTCTTCTACTAAGTATACGATTTAAATAATATAATTAATATTCTGTAATTTAAAGCTACGTTAATCTGTCTTGAGAAAAAAGCACGTGACTCTCGTGATAATAAGCTTTACCATGACATACTGGATATGTAGATGCAGTGCGAGTGAACACATCGCTATCCACGCGTGCATTCGAATCAACATAGTTGGGATGACAATGTAATTCAACACGTATAATCCTCATTCCAACAGACATTCTAAACTTTAGCAGAATCCTCGTGATGTTAGAAGATTTAATAAAAAGCGTTTTAACGAATGAAGGGCTCAGTGAAAAAGTGGTACAGAATTTGTTTAAATTAAAATAATAAGTGTATTTTAAAATGAAGAAGTAATACATATTTATCTAAAATAAAATAAATAAGATTGATATTTATCTAAAAGAAAAATGATAATAACAATATCCAGTATATTAACAATCAGATAGTTGTGTAATTTCTTAATTTTATTATATTCTTTTAATTCGATCCAATAATTATTTTCTATCTATTTATAAATTTTAATAAATTTTATTATTCTTCATCTATTACATGATTTTATTGTTTGAATGTAAAGTAATTATTCTAATAACAAATTAATAAAATAAGTTATTACTTTCTTCTAACTATGATATTCACGTTAATTTTATCAAGAATTAATTGAGCATGAAAATGATTTCTGATAATAAATAATTCTCAGAAAAAGTGTAAGTTCAATCATTTCAATTTTGAAAATTCATTTCGTGTCTCCATTTTTCTTGAACATATCTCGAGGATATAGATTTTTCCGGATAGACGAGCCGCTGTCCGTTTAAATTTTCAATGTATCGGCCTCCGGTGAGGACATCTATTTTCTCCTTCTCTTTGATACCTGTTCGTGATATCTCATTGATATCAAATGCTAGTTGAGACATTTCCGATAAAATAATTCCATATGCTCCTCAATGTGTCCTCCATGCAGAACGATGTGACAAAATTTATTTATGAAACGTCTCAACGTGAAATGTTCGATGAAAGTTGGACATTAAACTATATATTGTATTCCCTATTTTTTGACTCGTGTATTTCTTGATCAGTTATTTCAAATACTTGGTGAGATATTATATTGGAAATAAATTAAATTCAATTCGGTAAAAACGAATTAAAAATTCAACTTTGTTCATCTGATAGCACAGAAAATAGTATTCTAAGGAAAAAAAACAGATTTTTATCAAACAAATCGAAATTCTTTTCTCATAGTTAAATAACAAATATTGCAACATGTACAATTGTAATCCAATTATCACTTAATTAATTTCCTTCTTTCACTACGTTTATTAAAATACGTAATTATTATATAATCATTATAAACTTTTAGGAAAATAATAAGAAAATTTAAATTGAAATCTCGTTTCGCAATAATAATTTTCTTTCTCTTCTACATATCCTTTTATATTTTCAATAATATTCAATAATATTCAAAAGGATCACACGAATATATATATTTTTAATTCATTACGTGCGATCGAATTTCATAATATTATACCACTCTATTATAATTTAAATTTTTTTATTTTTCCAAAGAAATAGAGAATTTCCACTGAATGATTAATTTATTTGTAACAGGTCGGCGTTCGGTACACCGATATCTACCGGAAGACCAGCAACGGTCGAAGATACGTCCGCATCGTTACCTCTTAGCGGGATGCAGGAGGAATTGCACACGATTCTTAAGGAATTACGATTCATCACGGATCGTATGAAGAAGGCGGATGAAAGCGACGAGATCATTAGCGACTGGAAATTCGCCGCTATGGTGGTGGACAGGTTTAGTATATATTTTATTAATATTAGATAATAGTAGAATATTAAGTTCTTGTTAATTTCAATGATGATTTATGATTTATTCTTACTTGTTATTATTTAATCTTAAATATTTTTGATAGAACAAAGATAACATGAATTATCGTTCGATAATCTTATTAATTTAATTTTTATTTTTTCAATTATCTATTGGAAATATTCATCTTTTGTACGAAATTTAGATTGTTTATATTTATTAAGAAGAACTTAATCAATACTAATGATTCAAGATATCGTTTTAATTATAATTTTGTTCTTGTTCGTTACAGGCTTTGCTTGATCGTTTTCACGTTGTTCACGGTTTTGGCCACGATAGTGATATTGTGTCGTGCGCCACACATAATCGTCCAATAAATAGACTGCCCCGGTCAAGTCACCGAAAAAATGCACAAAAATTGCCAAAGGTATTACAATTATTCAATATTTATTACGTACTAATCATCTACATTCATTTCCATTCAAATCTTTCATTTTTTACATATACATTTTTTATATATAATTTATTTAAATATAATATACAATAATCAATTAGTCTGAGGTCATTATAAAATGGAATAATCACGACGTCATACGTTGAAAGTATTTCATTTAAAAAACGAAGTACACTTTATCTTCTCATATCTCGTTTCAAATTTCCTTTACGATCCTTTTTAAAGAATAATCTCGCAATAAATTTAAAAGAGACGTAATTTTTTTCTTAAATATTCTTTCTCGTTACTGAAACTCGCTAAATTATGCTTTTCGGCTCATTTAAATCTTTCAGATTCAATGTGATGATTTTCATAAGAAATATATATATATATATATGAAGCTAATCAAATTTTATTTATATTCTCATATAAATGGAAGAACATTATATTATTCGTTATTTTAGAATAATTTTTTTTAAATTATATTCTCTCAATTATATTTTTTTTAAATTTTATTTGTAATTGTAAATACAAATTTTCCACACGATCATGATGAAACGATATTTAATGATAATGAAAATGAATACCATTGTCCATCAACTTCTAATGACTTCTATGTGTGCACATGAGTTATTGCATTCAAGTAATGTGTAACATCACTCTTAATTCATTAGAGTAGCATAGAAAATTAGTACGGTATGAATACAGTTGTTCTATGTATAAGCAAGCTTATCTCTAAGTGTGGTATACAATTTCCCCAAAATCATAAACAGAGAAATTGAATTTTCAAACATTTAGAATTTCGCGCAAACTTTAATTTCTAATATCGGTCATTGTATATAAAATAAAAATTCCAAGTAAAATTATTAAACTTGACAAATTATCTAAATGTCTATCTAATAAGTCAACATATGCTATTTCGTCAACAATAAATGAAAAGAGATTTCTATTTTATTAAAAAAGTAATTTGTTTTATATATTCCAAAAAGAAAATTAATTAAAATAATCGCACAAATCAAAAATCATGTAAATTTTACTAATAATGAACGCATATGAAAATTATCAAATTTCATTTTAATAAATTGTTCCAATACATCTAGTTATACTTCATTGATAGATAAACAAAAATGGTATAAGAATTAAAAAATATAATTATATAATAATCAATTATTATATAACTTATTAATTTAAAATTGATAATGCAATAAAAATAATATTTATTATAAAGTTATATTCATTATCTAGTGACTCTTTCGATTAATTTTCAACACATACTCACACGTCTCGTACACCAATATAATAACATTTGCCTAACACATAATTGATCGAATCGATCTTGCAATTACTTATTTCTGTTCCACAGAAACGACGATACGTGGGTTTCGAGGAGGCTGCCACGGAAGAGCGATCAAGTAACGAGAGAGCACGAAAAAAGCTGCTCGTTGCCTCGTGCTTCCTTTCTTCTCGCTCTCTTCCTCTCTTTCTCTTTCTCTCTCTCCCTCTTCTCTCTCTCCTCTCTCTCTCTCTCTCTCTTCTTCTCTCTCTTCTTCTTCCTTAACCGTAAAAAAACGTAAAACGTAAACGTAA